AGTCCTCAGGGAGGTGCAGTCAGACCCAATTTGAACTGAGCTGTTTTGGCAACTCTTTCTCATGGGGGCTGCTTAGCTCCAGCAACTGCTTCCTGTTGGGGCTCTAAGGAGCCCAGGTGGACATGTGAGGAGTGGCTGGGAGGGGAGGGGCAAGTCGAGACCGTCGAGGAGGTGCCCCTCGACATGAGTGACATCAAGTTGACCATGCCCACCCCAGTCACATGACCACCTAGTCACGCCCACCCAGCCGATCATTACGCAGATCCTATTAGTGGTCCGCGGGATTTAAAATTATGAATTTAGTGGTCCCTGAAGTCCGAAAGGTTGGTAACATCAAGAAATCCCGGTGATCAAGAAATCCCGGTGACATTTTAACACCGCTGCACCAGGACTGAACACTGCTGCGATCCTCATAAGCAAAAATTGTGCAAATACATGCTTCAGCGATCAATCACGCCGGGTGTTTCTTCCCATGGGATCCAACCTTCTTTTCGATTTCAGCAGCTCCCACATCCTGGCCTAGGAATCATCGTTCGCACAACCACGGGCTAAACGGGCTAAAAACTAAGAGAAAACTGGGCGGTTTACCTGTGATACTGGGCCTGGAGCAACTGGAATTCATCTTTAATCCGGTCGCAGGAATCGGAAGTTGTGAACTTCAATTGCTGAGGCAGATGAGAAGAGGCCTGAAACAGAATTTGGGGATTGGGTTGGTTAGGGGGGTGGGTGGGAGAAGTATCCTTTTAGCCAATTAAAAACGACCCTAGGAGCCTGCTTTTAACTGTGCTTGATTTGGTATGTTGTTAACTGCCTGCTCAGGACGCTAGTCCTCAAGACTCCCCGAAGAAACCGTCCACTGCACTGTCAGGGAAACGGCATAAATGGTGGTTTAGGGGGTACTGTGATCATGCTTACACCCTACTTTATGATGTGGTTTGCCTGGTTTCAGCTTAATGAGACTACTCAAACTATCATTCGACATAATCCAAGAATCAGTCCTCAATACATTTTACACAGCAACATTTTAAGAACCGGTTTGGACTAATAATGAAGATTTTGAACTAGAAAACCAGGAGATTAGGATCTGGTGGATTTTAGGCCAATCCCTTTCTCAGTCTAGCCTACCTCACAGGGTTGTTGTTATGGGGGAAACAGGAGGTGGGATTTGCCTTGAGTGACACAGATAAATCTCACAATAAAATAAAACGTTTTGGCTACCTGAAAAAGCAAGCGAACAAATAAAGAAATGCAGAATAAAATATAGATCCGAACTTGTGCCTAAAAGTGATCCCCCACATGCGACCACAATCGAGCCCAAAATTCATGCTGCTAAGTGAGAAATCCGTCAAGTGAGTTTTGCCCCATTTTACGTCTTTCCTTGCCACATTTGTTAAGTGAGTCACTGCAAGTTGCTGAGCCTAATAACGGCAGTTGTTAAGTGAATCTGCCTTCCCTGTTGAATTGGCTGGTAAGGAGGTCGCAAGAGATGTTCATGAGATCCTGCAACCGTCATAAACGCGAGTCAGTTGCAAGGGCATCCAGAATGTAAACCGTGCGACCGTGGGGATGCTGCAACGGTCGTAAGAGTGAGAAATGGGTCACTTTTTTTTCAATGCCGTTGTAATTTCGGTCACAAAGTGAACTGTTGTAAGTCGAAGAGCACCTGTATTCTGCATGTAACCATGGGATGTACCATTTCTGAGTTTGGGGGGGGAGGGAGTTGTTGGCAAGTTCAGAGAAAGAAACCCAACTTCTGAGTTTTTTCTTCCTCTTCATCAATGTCAGAAAATAAAGCCATTTTGGGACATGCCTTTTCTTTCTAAGAAATAAATTTTATGCATGGGGTGAGCACTAAAATGGGAAAATTTCTTACCTGCAGGTTGGACTGCATCTAATCAAATACAACTCATTCACCTGTTGTGTAAAGCGATGCATTTACATTATTGTGTATCCATCCGGGCTGCAATAATCTCTTGTGGCCACCAGATGGCAGCAAAGAGATCCAGAAAGATCTCTTTGCTGCCCTCAAGTGGGTTGGATTATTTCTAAATTTTATTGGTCCTTCCCAACTCCAATGGATTCTGGATGGCAGTACAAATAGTTCACCCCTTGTGAATACTTATTTCACAAATGCCTGTTACAACAATGGCTTATCACCGGTCCTCACACTTACGATTCTGTTGTAGTGTCCCAACAGGTCATGTGATTAAAATCCAATGGTTTGCCACCTGGTATATTTATGGGATCTGTATTTAGGGTGGTTTCAGATCCCTGGGGGATCATTTGTAACCCTCTCAGAGAGCAAAGTCCATGGAGGAAGCTGGATTCACTTAATAACTGCACAATTCACTTAATGACCACAATGATTTGTTTAGAGCCGAGGTGACGCAGTGGTTAAATGCAGCACTGCAGGCTACTTCAGCTGACTGCAGTTCGGCTGTTCAAATCTCAC